TGTTTTGAGCCCATAATGATAAACTTATACCAGCAGTCAAAGGAATAGTACTTATCAGGTCATAAATTATTTTGCTTGACTACACACAGTCAACAACACCTGAGGCTCTTTTAATAATGTTAATAATAATAATAATTTTTAAAGTTATAAATAAGCTTTAAAACTATGCTCCCACCCTAATGAGTTTTCAGTCTAGCAAGACAAAGACAGAAGCCAGAAGATGAATGCATGAGGGAAAACATGAATCTCTCTCAGATGACTCATCCGTTAGTATTATCCTAGAAGAAAGGTTTACAAAGTACTGGAGATGGCAGACTTACAGCCAGGCTTGACTGAGTAGAAAACACTGGGCTGGGCAAGGCATTCCAGGTGTTTAAAAAATGCAAAATATACCATGAAAATAAAAACAAAAGAATGACTGGGAAAGGATATTTAATCATATGGTTGGGAGGGGAGCATGGGTCTAGAGGGCTTCATACTGTCAGGCTGCTCTTATTAAAGTCCCACCCCAGCACCTAGAGATCCTGCTGCCAAGCTAGAGCTGTTTGCTGTCACCAACTCCTCCTTCCCATTTTTCTAGGTATTCTTTTCTAATGAAAATCCTTCTTCTTATAATGCAGTTTCTCACTTCAGGAAACTTGACTTTCTGTGTACCTCTAAATCAAAGTAAAGAAAACGTAGAGTCAGGGATTATGTGTTGGTGCATTTTTGTACAGACACTGCAACAAAGAGACCTCAGGCTTTACTAAGACTGTTAGCTATCTAACTGTAATGCTTGTGAAAGTGGTAAGAAAACTCCGCTTCTTTCAAGCCCATACTAGACTAGCAATAGGGATTGGTGTCAGTGCACACAGTAGCTTAGTAGCACAGTGAGGGAGTTAGATGAATAATAAACTTGAAGTCAGGAGGGGAGGAATGGGAAGACTGAGAAGTCAAAGTAACTCTGGAATTGGAAAAAGAGAGCACAGGCTGGATAGGGCATAATGTTTTGGTCTTCCCTGTCCAATCCTAAAGCGTACTGTGGCCTCTCATTCTTTTTCCGACTAAAAGAAATCTGTTCAAACTGGGCGCACTACAGGGGATGTACTCAGGTATACAAGGAGAGAAAACAGCCAGGTGAAATAGTGTCCTAGCATTAAAAAAGAAAAAGGAGACACACACACTCATAATAGAAACAGTGTATTATACAAAGTTAGAAAGCAGGGTTGCAAAGACTGCTTGGAAGAAGGAATTAAGTAAGACCAAGCCACTGTGGTGGTAAAGCATCAAGTGCAAAATTATCTGCTGGGATACAGAAAACAATGTGAAACTGCAAAGCCATATAGGTACTTTTGATCCATCTACTGTACAAATGACCACAACAGGCAACAGATGCTTCAAGTAGGAATGAAGCTACTTAGATACTATAATGCATAGGTAAGCAGCAGCTTAAAATTTTCAAAACTAGTTATTTTAGTAGGGTAAATTCCCCCTGCACAGAGTTCAACACTGTATTGACTTGAGTATGTCTAGTATCAAACCAGATGGCTTAAAAATAGTTTCTCTGTCCCGCACTCTGTCCCGCATATACTCATTAGATAGTAGAGTTATGAACACAGAAGGCCTTTCTACTGGGTGGCTCAAGATGTAATTACCGTGATTTCTACATACTTCAGAGCAAAAAAAAGACTATCCTAAGGTTTTAAATCAGCCTTCATGTTCCTAACATGCATGAACGGTAAATAAAAACTGGTTCTGAATTGCAAAATTGTACTCAGGCTTAGGCAGCACTATAAGAACACCTGAGCTACTTCTTATTTCTTCCACATTTTGCCTGTTGCCCTCTCATTTTCCATTCTCCTCGTCACTGTTGCTCTTCCGCCTTCTTAGTAAGGCTGAAGTAGAGGAGCTATTAAGCCTTTCAGTATTTTCGGCTTTGTTATCTGCTCTCCATATCCATTATCAAACTGCTACATTTTTCCTTTGTCAGATTTTTGCTTCTTATGTGCTTTTTATATACAGATACAGGTGGCAGAGGCTCTGAGGGAACAACAGGGGAGAGTTTACAAGAAGGGAGTAATACAAAATAAGAGAAGGAACAGTGCTGGAGGTGAAATGATGCAGAACCGGTAAAACAGTCATTGCTCTCGGTTTAGGGCACTGGCTTAAGAACATCCTAGCCTCTTCATTTATTATTTTCTTCCTTAAATTATTGCCCTGCTCTTTTCATACTCCTTTTCTCCCCTGCAACCCTATTTTTTGGTCACCTTACAGTTGTTCATGTACTACATAAAACAAGAACAGTTTTGATTCCTGTAAGCTGCTTCTCTTGAGCAAAATCTGTGGGCCTTTGCAGGTCAGCTTTCTCTTTCTCTCCCCTGCTAGATCTGTGAGAGAAGACAACCATATTCCACTGCCACACCTCTCAGCATACGTTGGCATCTTCCTTTAGCTGTGCTACTTCAGATTACTGCTTTTGGATTCATGGATTGACTCGCCCCCCATTGCTCAACAGTTCCAGCAAGATCCTGGTATCAGTGAGTAAAGTGACAGACAACAACACAGGTCCTGTCTCAAAAGAACCTGAAATGCAGGGATAGTAAAAAGAGAGACAGACTTTTTCCCATATCCATTTATTTGATTACCTGCTTTAGTCTATTAATTGAAAGGGGAGTTAGTAATGTATGGAAGATACTGCTTCCTAGACAAACACTTATCAGAACATTCTAAAGAATGAATCAAATCCATCAAACACAAACAATTGTAAAGAAAATGTAAATAATTCATGCAAAGAAAGAGCAACACTTTCTCCAGACAGATACTGAGGCATGTGATGATAAAGACAGAAATCCCAATCAAGTTAATCTTGACCTTTCTAAAGCGGATGTTATTCAAGACCAGTCTATAGGAGCAAAGTACCATAAGCTAGCATGTTTGCTACTCTGCTGAAAGCATGTATATACAAACAGTTGTATGGAATAAGTACAGCACCCTCATCCTAATTTAAATCCTGTTAATTTGCTCTTGTAGCTGTGTCCTTAAGCAGATCACTAACCTGAGCATCTCTCATGGCAATTCCCCAGGTGCCAGAACAGCCAGATTGGCTGTTATTCTCTATTAGATTTAGCTTTCTTTTGGAGAAAGGATGAGTTTAATAAACGACAAAAATTTCGCATGCCACATGATGCTGCCCAAAAGATGCAGAACAAAGCTCCAACACTTCTATTTCAATCTTCGAAGCCAGCAAACCAGAAAGGATTTTACAAATTGTTAAACAGTATGAAGCACTTACCGTCCTGAAGAAACTTGTTTAAGTGAACCAGCACTTTCAAACATTTGCGCTCTTGCAGCCACTCTGAAAATAAAAGCACCACCTTGCTTTATACTTTGCCCATTAATTAAATACACAGACTAGTTTCAATTTTAAACATCTAAAGACATGGACACATCTGTTAAAATTGTTTTAATTATTCACTTAGAGAAACAGAAGAAATTCAAAAGCTGAATTTAAGTCCCTATTCAGCAGAATTCTTAAGGGCATAACCTAATCGGGGCCACTAACTTCCAAATGCTCTAGTGCATTGCTCAGTCAGCAAGGGAAATCTCAACACCTTATATTTAAAATTACATTCATGGATGGCCAGTAGATACTGGAAATGCTTTTATTGCCAATCTGTCAGGATCATGCTGGAACTCTGAGCTGTGCAGGATTCTCTGTGAAACGACTACAGTCATCCCTTCCACTTTAAAAACTGGAGAAGCTCAATGGAGTCCTGCAGTATTTGGAGAACTTCTTGGTGCTCTGCAGATTTGGAAATCACTTGTTCATGAGGACAGAGAAATTCTGAGTCAAAGTCAGGATTACGGCAAATATCTTCTGTCTCTTAAGTCTGTGCTAAAAGCACTGAGAAACACTGCTAACCCAAATCTCAGCAGAGTAAATTATAACCTCTGTTGCTTAGAAATATCCTCGCCTCAATACAAAAAAAGAACCACACAACAAAAAAACCCCCAACTGTTAGAAATCAACTATTTAACATGCAGCAACTGAAGAAATTTCACAGCAGAAGTTTGGGGTTTTTTTTCCTCCTCCAATTTTGGACTTACACAAATAAAATCTGATGATCTTCTTGACATAACAGCATGGACAGTAAGTAGCATTTATGCTCCTTGAAACATTAAATTCCAGAAGAACCAGAGATAATAATACTAATCACTTTCCAAAGATACGTTTCTGCATTACAGACCTTATCTGTAGTCTAATGAAGTCAACGGGAGTCTTTCAACTGACTTTAGCAGACTTTGTGCTGTGTCTCCTTTGTTTACAATTCTAATGAAGCTACATAAATAATTCACAAATACAGAAATATTAAAATCAAGTATTCATGAATGCTCTTTCAGCCACTTATGTACCTCTCTGGGATAACTTTATAGTAGGCAATACCGTAATGACACAGATCTTCAAAGGGCCTTGATGACTTACACAGATCCTGGTCTTTGATAGCCATTACTTGATGCAGTATCTAATCTTAATCTCCTGCACATTTTGGGAGGCAAATCAGGGTTTGGTGGAGCCTTTGGTGTATCTTTGGTATCTGTTGAAGATAAGCTCTGTATAGATCCACTGCAGCTTTTGTTACCTAAAGAAAACCACCAAATTATAGGGAATATTAAAGCTAATTTGAAGTTGCTTCACAACACATATAACATGCAAAGGAAAGTTTTTGTTGTTGTTGTTTTTGTTTGTTTGTTGGTTTTTTTAAAGAGACAAAATATGTAGAGAAAGTACTTACTAAGAGAGAGAAGAAACAGCCTTTCAGGCAGAAAGCCAGGAGAAAAAGGACCAACAGAAAGAATGAAGAAATGACATTAAAATTGTGAAGGCTAAAAAATTACATTGTACTTAAATGGCTAGATACACACTCATTAAAAAGTGACAATAAAACCAACTTTTATAAAGTAGTACACTGCATAGAATTGTAGAAAAAAATTCATCTTGGAAGGGATCTCAGGAAGTCATTTAGTCCAAATTCCTGCTCAAAGCAGCATCCACTATGAAATCAGACCAGATGTTAATTTGTAAGACTTAATATTTCAGTATCCACAGAAGCCTGAGGCAGTTTAAAAAAAAAAAGCATAGGAAATAATGATCATGATTTGCCCAAAACAATTGCTACTGTAACTTGATAAAACAAATCTATAGCTGTACAGATTGTATTGTACACAAAAAAGACCTTTTAATGAATACAAGGCATGGCCACATGTGTCCTTTAAGCTGACATATTCTGTGGACTGCTGTCTTGTTTGTATATACATTCGGCACGACAAGACCTGCATCTACTTCTGTGTTTCTTTATTTCCAAGAACAACAGGTGCTTAATAATGCTTTAAAAGCTGTCATAATATAAAGACATCCCAAAATATAAAAACAATATCTATATTATTAATATTGTTATTCTATAGCATTATTCTATATTATAATTTATTGTTAATTATTACTCTACATAATTAATACTGTTAATATAACACTAATTCTTACCTGGAAGTCTTAGAAAAAAGCTTGTACACTCCATGGGGGGCAGAGGGGAGAGAAATTTCTTAAACTTGTAGGGCTTTGCACCTAACCACATATTTAGCCTACCTGTATTTGTATTACTTATACTATTGACAGCTCAGTGGCAAACTCGGCACTCGTGCTCAGTCCACTGGAGCTCATTGTTTCAGTGCTGAGTGCTACTCTTCAGAATCCAAACCACTGCAGATATACTGATTTCAAGAAGGTGTTTCTTCTAAAGTAATTTCTACATAGCTGTCAATATAGTGCCATATCACCTCATGTACTCAGGAGAGGTACAGCAATGGTTCACAGGCATTCCAGCTAACTTAGCATTTAGCAGAACTGTCTAAATTAAGAAGCTATGTTTTTAAGCTTCTCTGTCTTGTAATGAGCCTTGTCTACAGGCTTACTTGGGACATAGGCTCGAGCTTAGGTGCTCCGAGAGTTGTCTTTGAAGCATCCTCCTCCTTTGACTGAACAGGAAGACTGGTGTCCCAACCTGTGCACTGAAATTGGATCCCTAAAGTTGGGTTTTGCAAACTTGTGGTTGTTCTTGCATATTGCATCTATATAGAGGACCATTCAGCCATAATCCTGTGTTCAAGCTAATCTACTTGCAGTATGGGATAACAAACCATGCAAGTAGGGCACAATGAAGGAACCATTCCATTAGCAGGGTTTAAGACATACATTTCATGCAAGGGATTACCTTTTTGTCCCATATGTCCAGTCCTATCTCAACTAAAGGTATTGACAGTAAAAAACATAAGTAAAAAAAAACCAAAACACCAAACAACAAAACAAACCACTTTTCCTTCAGTCTCCTATTTCAGTCAATTTATAGATGCAGTTGTCAGCAGGCACACCGACAAGGAGCGACAAAACTTATTTACTAGATATGTTAAGCCTAGTGCTTTTTAAATTTAAATGCTAGCTTTGATCAGTATCAATCATGTCACAAAGACTGATTCCTTTGACACAGTGATAAACCACAGCTACCAACTCTTCTCATAAGCCAGCAATCTCCTTACAAGTCAGTGGTCCAGATAAGGCATAGCAGGACAGACAGTACTTTTAAATTCTGAGAAACACTGGTATCTTTTAAGCTGTGTGAACTGTACAGGTGACAAACAATGGAAATATGCAGCAGCAGTTTGAAAACTGAAAGAACTTACCACAAAAAAAAAAATATATTATTGAATATCATTAGTTTTCAGATGGAGCTTTTGTTTTCTGATGCACCACAGTAAACACTGATGTCCTAAAAGACCTTGGAAATTACCTTCAGCTGACGGAATTGATCTAAGGGAAGATGCTGAAGACCTTTTCAGCCCAGACAGACTGTAAGAACTCTTTTTGGTCAGGTCTGTTGGTGGAGAGGCATTCTCTGGTCCAGTGACAGAAGCTACACTTTGGCAGTCTGACTCCACATCTGTTTTGGTTGCATCCTCCTTTGACGAGGATTCTGGACTTGTAGTCCAGAGGCCTGAACTCTTCTGGCCGTTTGAAGAAGGGGGAGAGGCAATCCATGGAATCCCTCCTGATTTCTCCCTGGGCTGCGAGGGTGCGCATTTGGTGGTGCTGTTCTGCTCCGAGGAGTGGGAAGAGAGAGATTCGATGCTGCCCATGGGAGTGCTGTCTGGGCTACTGCTGTACGAGTCACCTAGGGAGGAGTGAGGGGGGAGAGGGAGAGAGAAAAAAAAAAAAGTACATTTTCTAATCCTGTGCATTTCTTTCATGCCACCTATTGCCCCTTGTACCTTACCTGTCATCAAATTCATTAATCTGTGGTTTCAGAGGCAATGATTCTTACAACAAAAAATCTATTTAGTTACTCTAAGTTTCACACATATTCCTATCTTTAACCTGGAAGAGCTGCCTTTTGTGGCTATTTCTTTAGAGCTGATGAACATAACGGGCTACAGGCTAAACTATTTCACATAGAAGTTTGTTTTTTAAAAGAACTGCCTGCAACACAAATAATCCTTAGAAAATTCAACAGTTATGATGTTGCAATATCTTTGTGGCGAGTATCTTGCTGGATTTTCACAATAAGGCAAATGTTGTGGTGCTTGTCACACTCATGTTCTTAAATGCATGACTTTACTGCCAGCAGGCACAAGAATTAAGTTTTACTTCAGTTACCAAGCTGCTGAGGCTCTCTGCAGTCTCTATAAGACTAGTCCGTAAATTTGTTGGTAGATATCCTATTATCTGAGCCATCATAACTTTCATGAAATACCTATCCTGCAGAAGGACAACAACTTATTCCTTTATTTACAACTTGAATGTTGAACATTTGATGAATTTCTTTAATTAGATTGATTAGAGAAATCTACCTACCTACACAAAAATCTTTGCACTGATCTTGCTTCCAATAATCTTTTGCAACAAAAAGTAGGAATATCCTAAAGAAATTTGCTGGTGATATAAAGTTAGGAACACTCATCAGAACTGAGGAAGGACTGGCCTGTAATACAGTGAGGGCTGAATTATTTTAAAGACTGGATTCAGTCTAGTGAGTCATACGTTGGTTTCTAGTAGGATTTTTTCCCAAAAGCTAGGAAATATAATTCACAAATTTCACAAGAAGCAGAGAATGTATATTGTTCAACCACACAGTAGGTATAAAATATCAACATGATACAGCTGCTTTTGCCTCCAAATATTTCAATATCCTTGGCAACAAGTGACCATAACCACACACAATACTACAGACAAGGTCACAAATACCAGTGCCTTGCATTGTGAGTGGATCTGACAACTGTAGTGCCACTGTACAGTAGTGTGAAATATTCTGTCCACTTCTGGCCCAAATTCTGGTATTCCAGATTAGATTGTCCCTCATCTTGACCCTTTACAGACAATTAGTCCCTTGAAAATTGCAAGATTGGCTGAAGCCTAAATTTGTCAGATGCATTTTCTATAATTTTCTATCATTCCCTACCACTTGAAACCTATATCTCATTTTCTCAGGCCATACAGAATTCCTGAATTTCCTGCAATATAGTTAAGTGTCTGTACTTCATTTAAATGATGACTTAAAACCATCTAGTCCTTCAGAAATTGCTATTGCCAGAAGCCAAGGCTCTCTCCTGCCTGTCTCCGGCCACCCTAGAGATATTTGGCAAGCAGAATACCTCTGCTTCTGCCTCGGTCTTCCAGGCACAAGTGAGATCTTAACTGGAACTTGTGGAAGCAAGTGCTAAGCTTGAGCTAATAAGCAAACCACAAGTGGAGAGCTCTTGGGTTAGACCTAGTTCCAGTCAAGTTGCCAGCACAAGACATGCATCTGAATGAAGAAGCATGAGCTTGCATATGCTCTGCAAAATACTTGCACAGAAATGCCTCTTTTTTTTATGCTGGCATTCATTCATCGCAGTTAGAGAGTGAAGAAACTTGCCCAGTTTGTCCTTTGGTGAATGTAACTGACGGTTCTTCTGTAACTTCTTACTTGGGATTCCATGCCATTCACACTGGCAACTGATGTATAGGCAGCTATTGCCCTTATTTAGTATTTAAGTGCAAGAGCATACCGAGGATACATTTCCTAACATTACAGACTTAAGAATTACTACAGATCCACAAGAACAGATGCACCTTAAGTGCGGATAATTTACAGTACCAGTTTCAATCTCCTTGAGGAACCAAGGGACACAGAAGTTCTTTTGGAAGTCTGTTGCAGCAGCAACTTAATCTTTGCTAAAGTTTCAATACTTCTTACTGGTACAGCCAGTAAGTAAAAAAGTGGCAGCCCACTAGATGAAAATGAATGAAGTGAAACTTTTTAATAGTCACATCTACACGAAAATGAATAAGCATTCTAGGCAGCAATTAATTACAAATGTAACTCCCTGCTGTCAAACAGTACGTCATATCACAAGTATACTGTTTCTCCCCACACTATGAGAGTTTGTTTCCATTCCAGAAAAACTAACAAAGTTTCTGTGGTTTTGGCAACCTAGGCAGTGACTAACTTTGAGCCAATGACCACAGTTTCATGCTTGTGAAAAAAGCCAAGTAATAGTTTTGATCTCCTTGACTGAATTACATTTACTACGACAGGAAAGACTGTATTTACAGTTTCCCAACCTTACTAATCGTCTTAAAGCAAATGAGATGAACTTTGTATAATGAACTTCTGAGTTTCAAAGCAGACTACATTTAGTTTAGAATATAAAGCCTACTCTAAATTATTTTTCAACACAGTATGCAATACAAGACTTGCCTAAAACCAAACATCTTTCCTCATCTGAGAGAAGCAAGGAATGCAGTCATTCAACAGTGGCTGAGATTCACAGAGGTTAAAAAGCTGATGAAACCCCATCTGTTCTGCTTATAGTTATTGGAATATTATATAATGTGGAATATTATCCTACTGGATATTATTTAGGAAAGTTAAAAGATAAGACAAAAAGGAAGACAACCAGTCAACAAGGAAAAACTTACTGTCAGGATCCGCTAGACACGGTGTATATCTTCCCTTGGGTTTACGTGAACCTGTGGAGAGACAAATTGCTCTTGTCCTTCTTGAACCTGATCGGGACTGAGGTTGGGGAAGAGGAATATTGGGGTCTGGTGCAGTGTGAAATATCTGTACGATTTAGAAAAAAAAAGAAAAAAGGAAAAAAATTACATAAACAATAGAAGTACTGTTACACTCCCATTATTAATCTGAGAAAATTTCTCAGTTTTCCTCACCACTGCACCTGAAATTAATCCCGTAATAGTCTCACAAATTACAAAAGAGTAAATATTTGTTTAAATAGTTTTATTTTCTAGCCCTTGTTAAGATGTGCTTAACAGTCTAAATTGTAAAACATACAATAGGTGGTTACTAGCAACTCCTGCCCAAGAAGTAAAATATATTTTTTTAATTATTATGAAAAGATTGAATTTTTTCTCTATGTTCCTGTGAAAGCTTCTGTATGTCATAGAAATGAGTCATAGTTGTAACTTATTACAATCCAGTTTGTATTTCAGAAAACCACTTTATTTTGCCAAACAAGTCAAGTTTGATGAGGAACATCTTTATGTTTGGAGCATCTCCTGGTTTTTATCTTTTACATACCACTGCTATCACTGGTCAAATTTGGACTTCATTGCTGCAGAAAAAACACAGATTTCTACAGGTATCTGACTACTGCGATCTGACACAGGTATATATGAGGTTTTGAAGAACTCTTTGCTGACAAGTTTGGCAAGCCTGCCAGCAAGGCCAATGCAGAAGGTCCAGTCATTTTGTTGACTTTCCTTTGTATCACTTTTTCTGCAAGACACATGCAGTAGAGGTCTTGAAAGACCCTCAGAACATTCTTGGATACTTCTAGTAAAAATGATAATTGCCTTGGAGGATGACCAATACTAGATCTTCTTTCTCACTTATTCTTCCTAGTGTAGACTGTAAACTCTACTGAGTATGTCTTATGGCATTCTGTGGAAGGAAATGGAATTAGTTCTGTGGAATGGAGAAGAAGTTTTACAGAGAAAGATTGCCTGAATAAGCTATTGAAGGAATCAGAAGAGTCCATTCTCCATAGGGCCAAGTGTTGTAGGTTAAATACCATGCAATGCCAAAATATGTCTCTGCAAGGATTTCTGGACCTTCTATCAATAGGGCACTCACAAAAGAAGATGAAGTGAACAATGAAAAGATACGTCCATGCCATTCACAGAAGTGGAAGAAAGCAAATATCCTTCCATGGCAGAAAATACTTTAATGGATATCTTGAGATGCTCTCGAGGTACACTAATACCGTATTAGGCATTAGTGACTAGTACATCAATACAAAAACATGTCTGTAGACAGAGAAATAGATCAAGGGTGACTTTGGTTGTGCAGCCATGGTCTTTGTATTGAATGAGCTTGTAATTTTCTGGAGGGGAAATTCAGTACTGGAAACATGTAATATATTCGTTTTGGAGTTACAGCCAAGGAGGCTCTCAGAATCATAGCAATTTTGAGGAGTCCCTGTGAAATTATTGATGTTACCAAGCAGTACTGTCAGTACTTACTGACCAACCAGTGCAGGAGACCCTGGTATTGACTGGCAACTGCCCCTTAGCTGAGTAACATGATGTGGAAGAAACTCAAAGTTTTTTCACTTTGTTTTGTCAGTCAGTCTTAAACAATGACAATCAGAGAAGGTGATATATATCAACAAAACATCCCCCAAATAAAATTTCTTTTGATGACCAAATAAAGGAGGTCTTGACTGTTCTGCTGAAATCAAATAATTTAAAATAAATAAAATCTGAGGAGGCCTTTTAGTGAAGCTGATACCTGCAATGGTTGTGACCAAAAGTAAGTGTTTAAGATTTCATGGATTCCCCTTCTCAAGCCCTGAAACAGTTCTTATTCAATGTTCCAGGAAAGAGTTTGAGATGTACCTTCGCTGTCACTGGTCTCTTTGGGGAAAACAAAATAAACCAGGCAGTCATAGACATGCCTTTCTTCAAAGCAAAAAAGTACATAGAGAAGTCCCAGAGTATTCAAGAACTTTTAAATTGCAAAGACATGATGGGCTTAAAACCTGTAACTAGGAATAAAATCTCATCTAAGATACACTATTTTTTCCTTTTGCTTTTCTACTTTTCATATAGTACCTACACAAATGAAAAATGACACATTGCACAGAAAAGGGGGATTCTGCTGGGGATCCACATTGATGCTGCTCATGAAAAGAGGAAGCGAAGGATGGCTGGGGTTTCATGATGTTAGGAAGGACTAGATCTTTGCTGTGCAGCTGGTGTATCCCCAAAGGACAGCAATGATCAGAAAGACTCTGACCTGATGCACTCAGAGGAGAATCCATGCATTCACCCAGAGTGAACCTTCATACTCTGCGAGCATGAGAGAGATGGAGGAGCTAGGAGCACAATTATGACCTTCTCATTCTGTTTCTAGGTGTAAGAAGGACATAGCAGTCTTCAGAAAGCAACTGAAGATTCAGAGCAACTCCTTCAAAGCATGGGAGATTATGCCTTGGATCTGTACCTTGCACAGCCACAGAAGGCTTGCTAGGAATACAGATCTATAGCGTGGGGTGGGAAAAAGCTATTCTTTCTATCAAGGACCTTCTACAAATGCTGGATTTCTTATTTTTAAGAACTTAATGATGGTAATGAAAATGAGATCTTAGTTCCACTTCATCATAAAACAGTCAGATAATGTCTTTCTACCTTTTCATAATGCTCTATCAGAATTTCAACGACGATATTCTGAAACTTAATGTTCATCATAGCAGCCACGGTTTCTTCCTGGGCTCTCATCAGAGTTGGTCCAAAGATAACACCAAGGTTGGACACAGTCATTAGATTTTGCTGACTGTGTAATGATACCCTTTAAATGAACACAAACAATATGCAATTAAATTGTTGTGCTAAACTACAATTCCAACAGGCAAAAACCTGTTAAGACTACTTCTTTAACAAGATTCCAAGTGCATGCCTCCTCTTTAAAAACATTTTTAAAACTTTCACTTTTACTAGAGTCAAAACACAGTGTAGTACAACGACTATATTTCCATTAAGACTCCCATCCTGCAATAACCTAATGGATAACAGGCATGTCTTCCTAGGGTAAGTATTTAAGTTCCTGACATAATTGACAGGGAAAAGCAACTATCTTTGAAGGTCTCCACAGAGAGATCTAGACCATCTAAAGTTTAGGAGTCTTAGGGTAAGCACCTATCTCTCTCCAATGATTATAGAGGAACTTAAATACTTGATGTGGGTTGACTGAAAATACTATGTGATAACGGAGGTCAATCATATACCCTAGCTTTCATGGAATGGAAAGAAACTTAGTTACTGAAAACACTTAAATTGCAATAAGATCTCTTCATTAATATGTTGAAAACACAGGATCAATGGGGTCAGTGAAATCATTGTTTCTGTGGTATAGATAACACTAGGTGATCATAATGACATCTCTGGCTTTAAAATATATTAACCTTTTACTTCTGTATATTCTGTTATCACTTACTGTACCTTTTCTGTCATTTTTGTTAATGTAGAATTCAGAAACTTAGTTTTTCCAATAACTTATCAGATAGTAAAATGAAAACCATCAGTCAGTAATCCTCAACGCCTATTTTCTCTCCTTACAAATAAGATTTGCCAAACAAAAACAGTACCATCATAAATCCTTTGAAATAACTGCCAACTGCCCTATTGCCTCATGTCTGAGAAATATCATGCCAAGTAAAGATTTTATAATTTCTTAATGCTTAATTTTACTGAATTTGCTACCAAATAGAATCAGCTATTGAGGCCCTTGTTCACATTTTCCTTTTCATTCTCACTGCTGTCTGCTACCATTGTCAAGCTGAGCATTTTTAGCCATTTCCTGCATAATTACAACAACTCTTGTACCTTTTCAAATTAAGAAATCTATAAAAATACTGGAATACTAGCAGGTAGGAGCAAATTTTATCTTCTGGTTTTCTCTGACAGCCTTCATTAATCAGGTTTATGGAGATGTCTGCTACGTTTTTCTGCCAATAATATTCTCAGATAGCTTGATTTGTCCTTAAAAAGTTACACAAACATTAGCAAAATGACCTATCTGATGTCAGTTTGGTAGCAAATAACACAAATGCTATCCCCTTAGATTAGAAAGACAGTGACAAAAAGACTGTTAGATTTTTTCTGAGGGATTTTGTTAGGGTCAGGATCAAACCCATGTCTGGACTCACACATTACCCTTTCTCTCAGTCTCACTGTTAAGTAGGCGCTAATGATACACAGAATGAGAACAACAGTAGAATGATCTTGGTATAGAGGTGAGATAGACTGTACAATTACTTCTATAATGAAGTAATACTCCCCTCATACTTGGAACAGGAATGTTTTAGCACCCCGTTTACATCGAGACGGAGGAGAGAGATGGAAAAGAGGTTTGTATCGGAAACAACGCGATTATAAACTGCAGGAAAATAAATGCCTATCTTCTTACATATTTCCTATGTTGCTTCATTAAGTTATGCCAAATTTTACTTCAGACAGACACGCTGGCAGAGTCCGTTATTTGGAAGCCATATCATGAAAATTACTCCCTTGTTAAAGCACTTTTTTAGCCAATTATCTTCATTAATTTTCTCTGTAACAGACCTTATGTTTGGCTTAGGTGACTAACGGGTGTTTGAGAAGTCCACTAGTATTTTAAGAAAAATGGAATTTGGAATGACTCAGCTCTAGGTTTGTTAGAAAAAACTAAAAAATTAACCCTTTGCAATGTTATTCTGCTTTGTGCTGCACAGTAACTGTTAAGGTCTCTTACACAAACATTACAGTCGTATAGCGCAAGACAGAAAGTAGTATTTGTCCTGTGTTTGGGTTTCCTTGGTTACAAATTTGGTAGCTTGGTTAATAAAAGGAATGGTGAATTTAATAACATTGTACCCAGAAACGACTTCCTACAAAGCATTTCAAAGGCTCAATTTCTTGCAAAAGAGAAAAAAAACAGGTCTGTAAATGGATCATTTTGATAGCCAATTTCCCCTGACCTAGTCCTACTGTTGCTGGGCTACTGAATAGATATAGGCCAAGGTAATCATGCACTTCAGGTAGCTCTAAGGCATTCATTAAGGTGCAGTTGCTTTCTGCTCAAAATCTCTTTCTTTGATATATCACCAGTAAATTTTTGATACTGCCAGATTGCAGACTCCTGACTATCTACCTTAGAAAAGTACAGCGTTACTAAATCATACCAAAGAATGATTTATTCTTTAGACAGGTAATTTGACTAGGAAGGTTTAAAAACAAAAACCGAGTTACCTCTATGAAAATAACACCAAACTTCCTGTGTTTGCCTAGCTGCTGACTGAGTATATACTCATGTAGTATCACCTCTCCGCAGGCTGCTTTTCAAGACTTCCTGGGTTGGTTTGTTTGTTTGTTTTTAGTATGATCTACATCCCACAACATCTAGATAATATTTAATTTTGCACAGTGACACAAAAGTCAAGGTAGGAAAAGACATAAAGACCTTAAGACCTAAACTAAGAAAAAATAACATTATCCTTATTTTATAACCCATAGTTAAAGCTACAGTATTTTCACCTAGACACAAAAGCATTACATAAAGGAACTGAACAGCTAAAAGAAATATAGGGAAAGGATGTACATTTTTAAATCGGATTTTAAACAAAGAATGAAGAAACAGGAAGTTGGGGTTTTTTTTTGTATTTTCCCATCTTCATAAAATTAGGCACTTTATCTGCCATTTGTTCCTTGAAAAGTCTCCACACAGTGGTAGGAAAAAGATGAAGAAGGAAGATAACAGATAGACTCAAGAGACTAATTTTGAATTCAGTCTCATTAGAATTGCTAGTATAAACAACAGCTGGCAAATTAGATGAGAAATTAGAAGGGGTGAATTGAACTTTGGAAAGAAAAGAACTGAAAGTTTTCAGTATAAAACCATAAGATTACATTTATCAGAAATGAGAATTACATCAAATATGAGATAGGCAAGAGTTAAAGAGAACAATTAAAGAAGGGAATACTGCAGGCTTTTCTTTGGAAATGCATCTGAGGTCACATTGAGAATAAAAACGCCAGGAAAAGAGGTCAAGAAATGCTTGCTTATAACTAATTCTGCCTACAAATAAGTCAGTTCCTATGCACATATATTTCAAATTTTGGGGTTTCCAGACTAGCAGTTTTTACAAAATCATTAATCCCTCATTAAATATTTTAACTTTCAGAGGGTTAGAAAGCAGTAGATATTATATTGTTTAGCTAATCAAACACCTCCATGAGTAAGGAAACTTATGAAACTTGCTTTCATCTGGTTCTCTGGGTTACCCCATGTACAATTAGACGCAAGGTCTGCCTGATCAGTTTTTGGAATGGAAGCATTCACAGCAGCTCGCTATCATGTTAGTTCTCCAGGGCTAACGACAAAAAGGGCTAAAAATAATTGCTTAGGGCTAAATAATTTCCTCTCAAAGAAATTTTCAAAGTCCTCACATCTATAAGAGGACACAAAACTGCATTAGGCTCCACTGTAGACAGCTTCCTGCAGGCTGTGTCTCAAGCTGTGATGAAAAAAGCAAAATAGCTGGGACGTGATGAACAGAATGAAAACAATACGGACTCCTCTCTTATGTCTTCTATATATCTCAGTGATGTGGGCCTTAGATGAACAACTGCTGTTTCAGTATTCACATTCCCAGATCATTGCAAAATGTACTAAAAAGCATACAGCATCCTAAATCAGAAAGAATAATACATATTAAAAACTATTCAGCAAGTACCAGTGAAAACCAATCAAAGATTTACCAAAACTTACATGAATAGTGTTTGATGTCAAATAAGGAGAAATTATACTTTAAAATATAATGGTATGTAATCATAGCTAGTGCTATAGAGAGAATAAAGACTTGTCTTTTCTGTTGCACAGCACATGCTAAGTGTAATGCAGTGATGACAAAAGGTCATCAGTTCAGAGAAATGCAAAATCTTTTCCACGTGACATTTAAGTAATACTTAGAGAAGCTGATGAAACAAGGGAGATTCAAAATTGGGTTTGGACATTCATATAGACATCAAAAGTATAAATAATAATACTTCAAATTAGTATTTTCAAATGATACTACACTTCAGAGTTGTTAGAGAGAAAAATAAGATCAAACACGAAGGACAAGTAGTATCACATTAGTCTACACTCCATTTCTGAAATAGTGTGGGACCTTGAGTCAGATTCCAAACAGTGTTTTCTATCAGTCTTAGCATAGTTTTAGATGTTTCTTGAATTTAATTACTGACAATTCCTACAGTAAGTGGGAACGTGAATGAAAACGTTGAGTAGGTTTATTTTATAAACATAGCTGGTCATCTTGGTGACTCTTTATGGTGTTATTTTTAGTTTTGTTTCCATAGTGAATATTCTTTAGCTATGTTGAGAACAGCATTTTAGAAATTAAATGTAACTTCAAGTGGCATGGTTTCAACACAGAAAATCGATTAAGTAAGACTGACAAATTTAAAGTGGAAATGACCACATCTTACAATAACACCAAAGAGAAAAAGAAAAATTAATTACTTGACCAAGTGCTTGATAAGGATGTCCAGCATCTCTCTGTTCTTCTCTGGTAACTTATGCACAAGCGCATGCACTGCCTCAACTCTGTAGTTCTGATCATCTGACTCTATTAAACAGAAAACAAATATTGTTGATAAATTAGAATATGTGCTAAGATGCGATGGCAAATGGCACCAATGTCTGCATGTTAATACACAGATGCATTACAAGGAGCCAAACACAACTAGCCTTTAAAATGATGACGACAATTTGATTATATTTATTACAACATTCTGAAATCTGTATTTCAAGTAATTTGCCAAAAGCAGTTACCACCGATACTGGAACCAATAAAATCAGTGGCAATGTTGACCTGATGTACCACTTCAGTGATAGCCAAGATTTTACTCCTTGACATTTAAAGTATCTAAAATTCTTGAGCGTCTTTTATCAAGGCAAGAGGAAATGGGGAAATAACTTCAAATTCTAAACTGGAGTGGTTAGAAAAACGATTTATCTGTGTATCTAATTACTCCATTTGTGAAAAGGAGATAATTATCACCCCCTCCAATTTCTCAAGGCAAGCTAGGAAATTAAATGTTCCTGGATGAGAGGGATGAATGCTATAAACAAATTATCAGCCCATATAAAAACAAACAAACATATAAATCAAGGTTCAAAATTTCATGCAGAAGGCAGTCACACAGAACCTCTAAAAAGATCAGAACAAAGCTTCATCTAGTGTTACTTGTCCGTTTTGAGGGCTTTCATGTGGCACTGTGCTGTCACATACAGTGACATGGAAGAACTCGGATCCATGGCTGGATCACTGAATAATAGACCAAGGAGAAAAGTAAGGATACTAACTGATGAGATTAAGGGTTAGAAACAATATTACTTTCATGCAAGTGTATTTATTACTTTACTTACTAACAGCAACAATGAAATCTTTGTGCAGCTTGAAAGTCATCAGTGGTTCTGACAAACACCTGGTTGTAAAAAAAATATTAAAGGGAATTTAAAAAAAAAGCATTACTCAAGGTCGTCTTAAGTTTTATGGGTGTGATTATGATAGCCCTCAATATCTGTACAATGTATATTGATGTGTCCTAGGAAACCCAATTCAGTGATGACTGATTACAAGTAGTTTACAGTCATGTACATACTCTGAAAATCTCTTTGAGTTCAATCTGGTGTCACCATGTAAGTTAATAAGGGAAATGTTACCGGCACTGACTTCAGCACACAGACTCACAGTTTTCTGGCTTCCATACTGTAGACCAGGAATCAAAACAGCTGCAGAACATGGTACAGTGGGCTGCAGAAGCAATCTTTTGCCCAGGAAAGGCAAAAACATGATGAAATTTGGGACTGAAATTCTGATCTGAGATATCCTAGAAGTCATCCTCTGAAAAGCAGACTATGAATTGCCTCATAGATACAAACACACAGCTACTGCTAGCTCACGTTCTAATCTCACAAACAGTATCTACAATGATTTGTGCTTCTGAAGACGTATTATGAATTTCTTAAACCAAAGCCAGTCTTTTCAATGAAGTGTACATGACCATTCCACTATAAATCCTAGGCATATTTTCTAGAGTGAATACAGATTTCTGATGCTGCCCTTTGTTAAGTAACCAGTTTAGGAAATCTAGATTCTTAGAAGGCATAGAACATCCACCATCTGGGCCTGATGCTTTTTATTATGTTTCTTTTGGATGCTATATATTGAGACCCAAAAATGAGTTATCTTGGAAGAACCATAATTATTGAAAATTCTGTGTCTTATTAGTAAAAATTTTAAGAGAAAATGATAATGTGGGAAAGATATTGTGTTTGTGAAGACACCAATAATATAGGATAAAAACCTACGCTTTTGCAGAGACTTTTATTCTGCTCCAACAATGATGCCATGAAACCTCATGGTACACAGCTTAGGAGATTCAGAAAAGAAAGACTGAGCACAACACGCTTTGTGGTTAATGTTAAAAGTTTTAAATAAAAACATGCAACTAATTAAATTCTGCCAAATTTAGGGCTATATAAGCCATGACTATCTTAATAAGGCAGAAAGCGTGTAACAAATTTTAGATTCATTATTACACATAATCATAGGGATATTAGGCAAGATAGCAATACACTCAATTATTACCATACTAATGGATACAAGAAATGTAATATGATACTAATAAACAAAAGATTAACAGTCCAGAAAAGGAATACTGAGGTTTGTGTAGCATCACACTTACCTGAGGTAGTTTTTTAGTCCGCTTGTTATTGTTTTATTGTCCCAAAGTTCCATATCAATATCCATATCAGGAGGAGATTTAGGGGCTGGCAGAAATTTGAATTACGATTGTGTTACAGTTTGACTAACACACTAACTAGGAAAGCAGCAAAACAGAAGCTAATAGATTAGTCATTTAGCTCATGTGATTACTTACTAGCCAAGATTAACTACCAACCTGATGAATTTCAGTCTTTTAATCTCTGCCAAAGTATTAATAAAAATTAATTTAGCACTGATATTTAGCACCTGTAAACATTAACTATATGCACTATATCAAAGTGTAAAGTAAGCCCAAGTCAACAGAGAATTACTAATGTATTTGGCTTAGATATTCAAACACAGGCATCAGAGAGCCAAATTAGCAAGAAAAGTGAAAGACTAGAACAGCTGTCTACTAAATGGAGTTACGGTGTATTACAGAACTATTCTGAAATATGCCAAATAGATACCAATAAATAGAACTTTAAAGCTAAAAGAAGAAATTCATTTCATCAGTAATTTGCTCGTGTATATCAATGACTACATGCATAAATTGAATACTAATGCACATAAGAAACTAGTTAGATAAATCACTCATTTTAAGACTGCAAACTCAGTTTAGCAGCAGGAAATGCACATACAAAATTGTAACTATTATGACACAATCTTCTGAGCACAACAGTTAAGACAAAAGAGGTGACAATACACACGCTGCACAATGACAAAGGTTCACTTCAGATACTTACAAAATATGGTATTCATCAGCTTTTGCACCTTGGAGTTTACACCACCTATTCTGTACAGCCCCAGGATTGTAATACCTACATTGGGAAAACAAGCACAATGAAAATAATGAAAATATGATTATTTCAATATACGCTGATGCATCCTTTCAAAACATCTAAATGTACTTATGGAAAATTGTACAATTACATTCTTGAGTACTGCTTTACCCTGCTGAATTCTCTTCTGGGATATTAACAAACGCATTCCACTGAATCCGCACCATACTATACACTAATCACACTATACACTTGACATTAACAGAACCCTTTCTGCATAGAAATGACTCATATTAGCAAACAACAAGGAGATGGCTGGGAAAGGTGAAAAATAAGACCTAAAAGCAGTCTTAAAACACATTACACGTCAACAAGTTTATCTTACCTAGACTTCAGTGGAATTACTATGTGTCTCTATTTGCTTAGACCATCATCCCTTCCAATTAAGATATGATTGACATTTATAGGAGAAATGATTGTACCCCAAATAAAAACATATACTGTATACTGTTGCAACACTGCAGTTGAGAACTTATATGTTATGCATGGATCTCCACACAAAATAAGGACAGTCAAATCCCAATTTACCCATAAGTTTCAATTGTTGAGCTTTTTTTAGCAGTACAGACACTAATAAATAATGTTTAAAGTGTGACATTCACAACACAGTATTTCAGTACTCCAGGGATAATAATGTTATTGTTTTTTACTGCCTTTTAAAATCAGCAGGATTTAAAAGTCTTCCCTTCTCCCCACTTCAGGTCTTACCATCTAAAAATTGTTCACTTTTCCTTTGAAAACAACATTGCAAAGTCTGAGCTCACCTAGGTAACATACGTGTTTTGTTTGAAACCCCCCCCTTTTTTTTTACCCAGAAAAAAAAATGGAAGCAGTGAGTCAGCAGTGATTCAAAAGCTTCATAACGTTGTTACCTGGAAAACTGAATTCATGTTGAGCTCAATGCTGCACAGAGAGATCACACAACTTTTGGCTTAGAAGAGTTGCATACTGACAGTTCAGTGCATGGGCAGGAAAAGGTTACCTCTTTTATAGAAGCCGATACAGCCATACCTCTTCATTTGGAAGGGGATAATTAAAACTTGCTGTGAGTTGCAAGATACCACCTCATCAGTAGAAAGATTATTATTTTCTTTTGTACATTCCCACCACCAGAAATGAGTTTCTAAACGTTTAAAAAAAAATGCATAATCCATGTGCAAAATGAGTGAATAAAATGATAGGAGTTATGCTCTGCAAAAAAGGTGTTCCAGTAGAGAGTATTTGTACCACTTTTTGGTCTTCAAGTTTCACACCAGAAACCAAAGTTGGTACTTGAGGCTCCCTACAGTTTTACCACAAGAAAACACAATTCGGTGCACACAAATTTAAGACTAAAGATATGTGCAACTGTGTATTAAGCTGTCTAAACAACACGAAATTACAGAAAATGTCTAAAAGCTCCACTTAAATGACATGTTAAGAACTGTTGTTGGAACTTGTGCAAACAGTTTTAAGTGTAAAGCACACAGATAAAATGTGAAAAGTACAACCCAAATGATGGACACACTCCAAAGCACAGCTGTAAAACATGTAGAATTAATCAAAGTAATATTTGAGAAAAAATAATCATAATAATCTAATACATAATTTGTGATTTAATACACACCTCTTGTTTCTACAGCATGAATACATTTCTTCACAAAGTTGAAACCTGCTTCATTTAAGAACACTATAAAAAGAAGAAAAGAAGGTAATTATTTTCTAACTTATCAATACACAAAATCTCCGTGTTTAGCTACATTCACATATTAGTCAAGAAGGACTGATACACGTTTATCCACGAGATTATGATACTTATTTTTTAATAGTATTCTTGTAGATATATACTTAGCACTCAAAATCCAATTTTCTAATCATTAGTGTATCATTAGGAGCAGAATATTCCACTGTCTTTGTCAGAAATCAGTAGCCCCTCTACACATTCAGCTGAAAGCTTGTTGCGTTAAAAGGAGATTATTGTACTCCATTTTTCCTCTGCTGGGGAAAATGCTTTTAAGAGTTCAGGACCTACATTATGAACAGAATATATTCGTTGGTTTTAATACAACAGCATTCTTTGTTCCTTGCATATGTACAAAATCACTCATAAAATGGTAACAGAGGAAAACAATCTTTGTTATTGACTTTAATTAGTGAACTTATTTCAAGTGAATGTATTTGTCATTAATTTTTCTATCTATCTTCAATGCTAACTGCTCTAACTAGCTAAACAAACAAGATCTTAAAGCAGCATATTTGTCACCATTAGAATAAACTCCATCATAGAAAAAACAGATGTAGTGGTTTAAATTTTAGATTTCTAGAGTCTCAAATATACCTCCCATGAAGATGTATGTCCATATAGGATACATCTCTTTCTCTCTCTGAGATACATACACCCACACATATATTTATTTTTACGTATTTGTGTTAATATAATATTATGTTAATAACATATATGTGTTAATATAATGTTAATACAAATATACACAAGTGTCATAGTATCTTTAAATACACTTATTTTATTAGTCAGTTTATCAGTAACACATGTATACACACCTAAAACCAAAAAGATGTGATGGGCCGAGGCCAGTTGTACGAGGTT